ACACACACACACACACACACAAAATGAGGAAATGGCATTGAAATGACGACAAGGGGAATTCATGCATCATCAAGGAAGTAACGTAAGTGATTCAACACACATTTTGTCAGTTGTTTTTGATAAAGTTGCTATTAATTTACATTTACATTGATTCATTGGCTTATTAAGGCGTAATCGTATTTCAAGGCAGTTAGCCGTTCTCCCCAGTTCCTCTTTTGAGTGTAAGCTTCAGAAAAATTATCTGAAAAATAGTTAAAATCAGTCATGTTCACTGTTTTTCAAGATTTTGATGAACTAATATTGTTGTTATCAACAAATAAAGCAGTCTGACATTGTCATTTCCGATGGAAGATATCATTAAAATGCCTCAAGTAAACCGAATAACCTCTACATGTCTAAAAAGACTAAAACAGTTATTATTAATATCATAACTTGCCTATAATTTATATATTAATGTTTGTTTGTCTTCAAATTGTTCTTACCAGGTGGTTCTTTTGATAATACATGTCCAGTCAGACAGAGAAGCAGGAGCAGTCCAGTTGGCATCGTGTCAAACACAGACAGGATCAGCGTAGGTCTACTTCTACATCAGAGTGTCAAGTGCTGTATTTCTGCCTTTGCTGCTACATTTGACGTTTGTGGTTTCCTGTCAGCGGAAACTGTCAGCGTATTAGGCGACAGATCAAGAAGATAACTCAGTAGTTAGGCTTCACACTGTGTGGCTTTAATGTCAAATAACTCAGAAGTCTGACTTACAAATACATGTGAGTGAAACCACACACTACATGTATTTGGCCTTTTCAACATTTGAATGGAAATGTTATTATTAATTTCCATAAATTGGTTTTACAGTGAACAAACCAGATTGCTTTATGTGCATTTGTTCTACTGCTGAAGTTGTGTTTAAAATTAAATTTCAAATGGTTGAAATAGAATTTTACAGGTGAAAAATTATTTAAAAAAATAAAAATAAAGAATACAACTTTATTAAAAATCCAAAACTTAAATAGTGCAAACAGGCTTTGGGACCTCCCTGTTTTTTTTTTAAACATTCTTCCACATGCCCTGTTTTAAGTTTTGTATGTAATGGCCAGTCCAGTACATACAAAACTTAAAACAGGCTGTCAAATGCATTTTACCCACAGTGACTTCCATCTTGCCCCTCCACCATAAAGGCCTGATAAATTCTCTGCTCATGTATTGGTAGTCCCCTTTCTTCAGAGGACTTCTGCAGCTCTTTTAAAGGTGATCCTTGAGTTCTTGGTCTCAATGTGATACCATAAGCTCCCCCATCTTAAACTCACTGAGGCCACTGTGCTCCTGTGAACATTTAAAGCTTTAGAAAATGTTTTCCATCCATGCTCTGATCTCTTGGCTTAGTTTTGTCTTGCAGTGTGAACTATTTCTGAACTATAGACTTGCCACAGGTGGACTCGTACCTCTAAAGTTAAAACATTTTTGAATTACCATTATGGATTAGTGACAGATAAAAACAGCATTTATTTAAATTATAATTAAATCTACAATACAAAATAAGTGCAAGAAATGATGGATTGAAGATTTTCTGAGGTGGCGGTAGCATAATGGCCTCCTTGAACTAAAGTATGATTGGTACATGACAGAAAGTGATTCTCTGATATTTATGCCATGTACTTTGTCTGCTGCTAGTTTTTTCTGTGGGTTTTGTTTCCTGTGCACGGAAACTGTTACAGAAATAAAGATTGAGAAGATACACCTTTGGAACAAATCATGTAGGTGCTGTTACCAACACACTGAGGAACTGTTCAAATACACTTCACTACCACACTACCAAATTTCCCAGGGAGTAATCAATCAATCAATCAGTCAATCAATCAATCAAATTTTATTTGTATAGCCCATATTCACAAATCACAATTTGTCTCATATAGGACTTAACAAGGTGCGGCTTCCTCTGCCCTTAACTCTCAACAAGAGTAAGGAAAAACTACCAAAAAAAAAAAAAATCTATTAACAGGGAAAAAACCTCAGAGAGAGCCAGGGATTCCTAGCAGGATGATCAGAAGTGCAATAGATGCCACGTGCAGCTGAACACGTCCACACAATTACAATATTTACAACATTGATAAGAAGATACAGTTTAGAGGAAACAGTTTTATACATAATAAATAGTCTGATAGCGATGAACAGAACAGCAATGACATTTTGTATATCAAGCAGACTATACAATAATCCATGAACAGTCACCACCACGATGATGATCCATTACACAATCCACAGCAATTTGCAACATTATTAAGAAAAGTGCTATAAGTTTATTATTATCAATGTTAAGAACTAGTTCAAAGTTGCGTTCATTCAGATGAAAATGAACTAGTTCACCTTCATTTGTTCCATTTTTTTATTAGGATGATGTAGATGACAAACTTTCGATCGTGAATTTAGTTATTAATCGATGGCGTCACTTTAACACTGAGTCCTGATTGTGATGATTGTACACAATGCTGACGGGTTTTTCATGATGTTTGAATGCAGCCTCACAAGCTCTTTAGTGACTCAAACAAACACTAAGTCTGTGTTTGTGTACTTCATGTACTGATCAGGTCCTGATAATTATTGCAAACTTCCTGTCAATGGGATGTGAGATTAGTACATGTGAGTGCTTCATCATGGCAGTCCATCCCCTCAGACCGGCCACAGCACGGCCATGCTCCGAGCACCGGTCTGGAGCTTCAGTGTTCAATGACCGGCGTTCACGCACAGCACTGATTATTATTATCATCATCATCATTGTTATTATCATGATCCACCACCACGATGGAAAATACACAGCTCTTTGTAACATCGTTAAGAAAAGTGCTATATAAATTATATATTATTGTAATTGATTGTGAGAAAGAAGCAAATTAAGGGGAATTGATATCAATTCCCAGTGGTTTGTGCTGCAACCAGCGCTGTTCTGCTTTCTAGTGGATTTCGTTGCACATTGAGTAATTCTATCAAACGTCAAACTTCAACCCTTCAAACATCGTGAGACATCGGGCGATTGCGCTGTAAAGCCCTTTTACTTTGAAGAGGCGGAAGTCGTGTTGTTTTGCTAGCGGGCTGCGGAAGGAGCTGTCATCCGCTGTCGTTTTCTCCTCCTCCCTCCCCCCCACCCCCTCTAAACAAAAATCCCGACGGGAATCGAACAACAAATGTGAGCGGCTCACAGAGAAACCACGATGGGAACCACACCGAGACCTATCCCTGGTGTCAAGCCGCTGAAGACGCTCCTGCTGCCGCCGTTCGTGCTGACGCTAGCGTTGGTCGGTATCCAGGGCGAGAGCCATGCGATGGACAACGTCGCGACGGAGCGGATGGCTGAGGAGAGCCACCGCCAGGACAGCGCCAATCTCCTCATATTCATAATGCTCTTAACGCTCACCATTCTGACCATATGGCTGTTCAAACACCGCAGGTTCCGGTTCTTGCACGAAACCGGGCTCGCCATGATCTACGGTAGGACGGCTAACATAGCGGCTAGCTAACGGTGCCTGCCAATCACGCATGTTAAATTAGGGTAAACATTAGCTGCCGTTAGCTCCTCAAAAAACACTGGGGCGATTTCTCCTGAGGGGACACTGCTCACGTGGAGAGGAAAAACACCATCCACGATTCAACTTGATATTATACACACGACTGATTGTAAATAGTCATGTGGCCAAACATGTCACCTTCACGTCACATTTCAATCCTCACGATAAATGTCACATTATTATTTCTTTTAATTGTAGACACTGAAACATGCACCTCAGTGAAAGTAAGGGTTTGAAACTCTTCTTTAAAGCTTCAGTGTGTGAGATGTAGGTGAAAGGGATATAAACTGTTTTGTTATCACTGGTGTGTTTCATCTAAATGGACCCTTTATATTGAAATACTTTATATTTACATCAGGAGGGGCTCCTCTCAATGGAAGCCGCCATGTTTTTTTTTTACAGTAGCCCAGAATGGACAAACTAATCACTTTTTGATTTTTGAAGACAGCTGAAGGCTACCACAGGTTCTCTGTCATGTTTGGAATTAGAGTGAGGTGAGGCTGCAACTTTCGACTTCACCACTAGATGTCACTAAATTCTACACACTGAACCTTTAAACACAGCAAAAAAGGTTATACATGTGAGTCAGATGAATTATGTCTCATACCTCCTCAATGTGTACAATACATAAACTATATTTCATTTTATTTCATTTATGTGTTTCATTAGACCGGATCTATTCTCATTAATCAACAGCGAAAGGACTGTGAATGAGCCAGTTAGCTCACTAGTTTCATCCCTGGCCAGTTTTTAAAATGGCAACCTAAAATAAAAATAAAATGACTTACTATAGTCAACACATATACCCAGCCCCTCTGCCAATGTCAGCAGGGATTGTCTCGAGCTCCCCCCTGCGACCTCATAGGATCAGTGGTAAAGATAGATGGATGGATGAAGTGAATGGGGAAATGTATAGACACCTGCACCTTCATCTACTCTCAGCACGCAGTGAGAAGTTGCTATCATGAATTCATTAACTAATTGTACCATTAGTTTTTTTTTTAAATAGAGTTCAATCTAATTTAAGTATGTAGCTCACTCACATAATTCAAAGTAGGGTGCATATGAGATACTTACTCATGTTCTTTAGTCTAATTGCTTTGCCCTCACTCCCTCTGTCCTCCTCCTCTCTCCCAAAGGTCTGTTGGTGGGTGTGATCCTGCGGTTTGGCGTCCACGTGCCCCAGAGCATGAGTGACGTGGTCCTCAGCTGTGCCGTCAACGCCAGCCCCGCCACTCTGTTGGTCAATGTCAGTGGCCGATTCTACGAGTACACCCTGAAGGGGGAAGTCAGCCGCAGCAAAGGTCACCAAGTGCAGGATGACGAGATGCTGAGAAAGGCAAGGGAGCGCACAAGATCACCTGAAAATATGTCTTATGGACTGACAGTACCTGTTTCAGAAGAAAACATTCTAAATCTGTGATTACATACAATTGAGTTTTGTCTCATCAAACTTAAACATGAAGTGTGTTTCCCGAACCTTTAGAGGAGATCAGCTCACATGCACTTGATTCCACCAGAGGAATCAGGTTCTAAATGATGTTCTTCTTCTTATAACCTTTGTCTTCAGGTGACCTTTGATCCAGAGGTGTTTTTTAACATTTTGCTGCCGCCCATCATCTTCCACGCTGGTTACAGTCTGAAAAGGGTAAAAGAGTCAAAAGATTTTATTAAACTCTCTTTCTGGAAATTACGTATAAGACAACAATGAAAATGTTTATTATTTTGTGTGTGAGTCTTCATGCATTCTTAATTATTTAGATATTTATCTAGATATTTCTAGCTGAACAACCAGCACTAGATGACATCTGTTTTAATAAATCAGTCTTTGGCTGTTTCAGAGACATTTCTTCAGAAACATTGGCTCCATCCTGGCCTACGCTTTCATGGGAACAGTTATTTCATGCTTTGTTATCGGGTAAGTGGTTCAGTTGTCTCCAAAATCATCTCAGAAACATTCATGTTATGTTTTTACCATAATTCCTAACATTCAGACTTAAATACAGAAGATTTTGCTTCATTTTTTTCTTTCCTCCCAAGGTTGATCATGTATGGCTTTGTGTCCTTCATGAAAGTTGTGGGACAGCTAGGGGGAGATTTTTACTTTACTGACTGTCTCTTCTTCGGGGCCATCGTTTCAGCAACAGACCCAGGTAGGTTCTGTCCTATTAGCTTTCACTGTCCACATATACAGAGGGATTGACACTTGCATACCTTCGCCAAAGGGCCCGTCTCATATTGTTAAAGAAAGTGATAAAACAATTCCTGGATACACCCCTTTGTGCAGATCCTCACCATAGTTCGATGAGTTCTTACTTGGCCAAAGTCCCATCTTTACAATATGTTTTGTTGATATCACTAATGTAGTTTGTTGTTAACTCCTTGGGGAAGGTAACATGAATGGAGGCAGCTCAGGCTTTCTGCTTTATACAAAAATAATAGTTTGAAGACTTCATATGAGTGTTTTTTTCCCTCCTCTGTATTTCAGTGACAGTGCTGGCTATCTTCAATGAGCTCAAGGTGGACGTGGATCTGTATGCTTTACTGTTTGGGGAGAGTGTCCTCAATGATGCCGTGGCCATCGTCCTCTCTTCGTAAGCTCTGATTTCAAGCTCCAGAAATATCCACTCACAGCAACATGTATTTCCCACTTTTATTCCACCAAAGTAACATTAGTTCCAGATTAAATGACAGGCTCACATTTGATACCACAACTCCATCTCCTACTGGCTACAACTTTTAAAATGTGCACGGGGCATGTGAGTATTGTGTTAAGACAAATTTGGAAAAAACCTGTGAACCTGTCCTTTAATCCAACTTGTTGATCTGCACTGCAATGAAGCAAAATTCCAGTTTTGATTGTAAATTGCACATGAATGTGACACTAATCATACTAACCATCAATCCCTGTCATTTCACTGCTTGCCCCCCGTCACCCACTTGTGTCATTCATCGCCTGCCTGTACGTATGTCTGCAGTGTTCTCCTCCGCTTGGAGAAGCAGGGTAGGCAGGGCGCTGAGGCCATGCACTCCTCAGGAGACGATGGCCCAGTCTGGCCCGAGGGGGCGGAGGAATGGCTGGGAGAAAACCAGACATTGAGCCCCCGGTGGGTGGGTGGTTGGTTTGGTTGATAGAGGGATTTTTTTGCATGGTTGTAGTGCTAGAACCTGATCATCTGCCTCTGCATTCAATGTAATGCAAATCTTTTATTTAGAGAGAAGCCTTGAACAACCACCCATTAGGATGATCAGTTCCCTGCCCTTACCCCCTCCATCCCTATTTATATCCACTCCTATATCTTTTTTCCTATTTCTTAATGCTCGGCAGAACCAGACAATCACCAGAAAATACCTTTTAATTAATGCTTTGATTTGTGTGTTTATCACTGCTGGTTTATTTGTGCTAGTGTTTTGCTTCGTCTTTAGGTAATCTGGGTGCCCCATAATGGTGTAGCTCCTGAATTGATTGTTTCCTTACTTATTTGCACTTTAGTTGCATATCAACCAAATAAAGTTGAGAGATCCAGGACCAGTTAGAATTGGGCATGCAAGACCCCAACCTCCCACCCTTTTGTAGCTGTAAAACCCAACTCCAGTCCAAGTGTGTTAAGTCTTTGTGACTGTTCTTTAGTGGAAAACATAATCCCCTAAATTTCCAAAAAGACTGAATTGGATTTGGGTTGCTGCAGCTTTAATTTGATGCTTGACTCTAACATTTTGAAATTCTCAAGAATTACTCTTTGTGTCTATATCTGAGCATGTGCATAGCATTTGACCACTTCCTGGATTCTCAGAAATGTCTTATTTCCTTTTTTCATGTAAATGTTTTTATTATTTCTGTGTTCTCATGTCTATCTGACCTTTAGGTCCATTGTGGCGTACCAGCCGGCAGGAGACAACAGCCACAGCTTTGAGGCCATGGCCCTGTTGAAGTCTTTTGGCATCTTCCTTGGTGTCTTCAGCGGATCCTTTGCTCTTGGTGTGGCCACTGGAGTCATGACGGCTCTCATATCCTCTCACATGTTTACTAGTGTCTATCATGGGGCTGACAAATAGAGATAAACAACCATTCACACTCACAGTCACCAAAGCCAAATATGCCTGTTATGTAATGGTGAAATAAATATATATATATATATTCACAGATGACAATGCTACAGCAGACTACAACAAACATTTGTTTGAGATTACTACAGTTGCTTTACTTCTCACTCAAGATAATTGCAACTTGTAGTTTGACAATTTTGATTCATATTTAATTTGAGATAAGAAAAGCCTTTATGAGTTAAGCTGAAATGTATCCATCCATCATGAAAGGGTTTTTTTTATGACTTCAGATTTATTTGCTTTATTCCATTTGTTTTATCAATCTTTCATTCTGTTCATATTTTATTCATCTCTGTATTTTAATATTGTCATGTTATTGTCTTGGATGTGCCAGTTCTTGTTTCGTCCTTGACTTTCAGTTTTTATCACGTGACCAAGTTCACTAAATTAAGAGACTTCCCCCTGTTGGAGACGGCTCTTTTTTTCCTCATGTCCTGGAGCACGTTTCTGTTGGCTGAGGCCTGTGGCTTCACAGGTACGCTGCACGACTCACCCACCACTAACTGCAAGATAAACAGTCTGATTCCATCAACAATGTAATTAACTTCTTTTGGCACTCTGGCCATTTGAATGGTAGAGCTGGGTAGAACCAAAACTTAACATCATTTGATCAGATTCAACCCTACTTTTGAGTCATGTGTTTTTGACACCTGCACAGTTTCCGTTCATCAAGCAGCCAGATATTAATAGCTGTCTTTTTATCTGTGGAAGTTCCAGCTAGTGCTCTAAAGTCATGTTATTAACACAGTGAGGGATGAGTAATTCACACCAGTATGTCTGAAATCATCGAGCCATCTGAAACAAACCCTCAGGCTACTCAATGTACGTGTGATGGATATTTGAAAGTTAGATGTGCTTGTCTTTTAAACCACAAGATGAGCCAAATTTATTGTTCATACATTTCATTTTTACCATTTTATTTTCTTAATGAAAAAGGCTAAATTAATATTTTCATCTCTATTTTAACTGATTTTATTAAATGCTTTCGACATTCAGTACTTAGGTATAATTTATGTGTATTTAGTGACTTTGAAGTGTAATCTGTGTATCTTTGTTTTAATTCAGGTGTCGTAGCTGTGCTGTTCTGTGGGATCACTCAGGCTCACTACACCTACAACAATTTGTCCCCTGATTCTCAGGACAGGACCAAACAGGTGAAATGCGATAACACTTATCCCGTCCCATTGTGTCTACGATCTTTACACAGCTTTAATCATTGCTAGTCTACTACTACCTGTACTAGAGGTTATTTTTTATTTCCATTTGAAAATCTAGTTATTAATGCCTACTAGTTACAGAATTGAAGATAAAACATTTAGAGGAGAGAATGTAGAAGTTGCTGAAGATATTGAGAAATCAAACCACTTTCATTAATCACTGAAGCTTTAGAGCTCATTAAATTGGCGTCTTCGGGTCCATTGCACAAACCACTCGGTGTCATGTGGTGTACTACGGGCCATAAGGGGTCACCACATGACTGGGCAGGATGTATTTGGACACATGTGCGTAGTGTGGTGCTGTGTTTCTAATGGGTTAGTTTAGGATCTGAACTGGAATAAACCCAGGATCATCTTTATCAAAAGCAGCAGTGAGACTGAGGAGGAGAAACAAGACAGATGCATCTCTGAACATCTAGTGATTCTCAGATAAAAGACAAAACTGTGAAATTCATTTTTCGTGCATTTTTTAGAGCCTCAAAACCAGACTGATGTTTTCTGTTGAAGATAATTTGTGTTGAAAGAGTCGGTTGGCTGGACGCACACTATGTTCTCAGTTGTTTTCAGGATTTCAGGATAAATGCCAGTTTACATATCTTAAAAACAGAAATTAGGAAGGAGTCCTGCTCACAGTTGGTCACGAACTTTACTTATCTAAAAATTTTAGTTAGAACTGTTCTGGCTTCTTTTACGTAACAATTTATATTTCATGGAGTAAATAAACATTGCTGTAGTTTTAAATGTCAAAATCAACTATGTACATTAGCTACTCAATATGAAAAAAGGTTTCCCAAATGTGATTAATCTACATTTCACACTCATGCTAGTATGAGTCATCTGATGAGCAAAGTGAAAGAAAGCAAAGTTTATGAGAAACATTCACCAGTGTTGTCTCACATCCAAAGTGACTGAATCAATGCAATGTTTCTCTTTTCATCCTGTATTTGTTCTGTCTCTTCCCCCATCAGTTGTTTGAGCTGCTGAACTTCCTGGCAGAGAACTTCATCTTCTCCTACATGGGTCTGACTCTCTTCTCCTTCCAGTCACATGTCTTCAACCCTTTGTTCATCATTGGAGCTTTTGTATCCTTTTCCTCTGCCTGGAGAACAGTGTTATTAGATGTTAACAGTAAATGATGAGGTTGTTATTTTGCCACAACATGTTCATTTGCTTCTTTCCCGATAAAAAAGAAATGTTGGCCTTGCCACGCAGTTACAGCAGATGATAGATGGTTTAACATATTTAACGTACAGATGCCGCTATTCCGCCTCATTGCGATGCAGCCTTATTTTGACCTACTGTCTATGCATGCGGGGATGCGGAATATTTATTTACTTATTTATTTTCGGGGGGACGTAGTCAAGGCGAGGGGCCGTTGTTGTCAAGGCGGCCGCCTTAACTATAAAGCGCTGCGGGAAACCCTGTATATATGCAGAATATTGAAGTATAGTTATGAGGGGCAAAACAATAAAAGCACAAGCAGAATGAAAGTGAGACTTTCCACTGTGCTATCAACCCACGATTATGTTCCATTCCAGCACTGCATTATTTCTCTGTGTTGTGTCCTTGACCTTCCTGCGTGGTGTAGGTGGCAGTGTTTCTGGGCAGAGCAGCAAACATCTACCCTTTGTCCTTCCTGCTCAACCTCGGCCGCAAGAACAAGATTGGCTCCAACTTTCAGCACGCCATGATGTTTGCAGGTATGTTACGTCTCTGCTGTCTCACGTTTTATTCAAAGTAAACTACTTCTCACCTGGGACCTGGTTCCATGAAAATAAACTGTTAATGATGGTTTAAAAACATTAGCTTTTAGCCTAGATAATGATTTGCTAACCTTTCTAGATCAACAAGACTTCCTACTCATACAGTATTGTTATGAATAATGGCCCAGATGCCAGCTGACATTTACTGTTGAACAGGTTAATTATAAAATCCCCTTCATGTCAATAATGCTTCTATGACTGTCAAAGAACACAAGTCTGAACAACTGCACCTAAATTGAAAATACAGAGAAAAACCTCAAAGTGAGTGATGAGTCTCGATTATCTTATATTCCTTAGTCTGGTGGTGTGAGTCCAGGGGGTCCTGTGTCTCACCCACATCAGCAGACTGTATAAAATGCAGCATTTAGAAAATATTGATGTAAAGATCAGCAATACTGACAGAAGTTAATCATTTTTTTGAAACACTCACACTCTTTCTTTGTCTCTCATACCATCTTGTCTCCTTCAGGTCTTCGTGGGGCGATGACCTTTGCTCTCTCCATCCGCGACACGGCGACATACGCTCGTCAGATGATGTTTTCAACCACCCTCCTAATCGTCTTCTTCACCGTGTGGATCTGCGGCGGGGGCACCATGCCCATGCTGTCCTTCATGAGCATACCGTGAGGCCTTTTATCAGCTTCTCTCTGTTCCCGTGTTTCATCTTCTCTGTTTTTCTGTCAAAACCATGTTTGCTATCTTTTCTTTTCCAGGGTGGGTGTGGACTCTGATCAAGAAAACTCTGTAAGTAATCATCGTAGATTAAAATCTCGAATTTTATCACATTTGTAAATTATTTAGCATTGCCAAGTTGCTAACCTTATGTCAAACACAGATAATTGAAACTGTAAAACAATGTTCTGCTTGTCAGAGTTCCGCAGTGTTGGATGGGTCGCAGCGGAGGAACACCAAACACGAGAGTGCATGGCCCTTCAGGATCTGGTATAACTTTGACCGAAAGTATCCTTTGAGCCACATCTTATTTTAAATCTTGTTCTTACTACTGTAGATGCTGTGTTCAGGTTTGAACACCAGAGGGTGCTCTTTACAAACTTACAAGAAATAAGCAGTAGTAACTTGAGTGTAAGTTTGCCGTGTGTTTACCGGCTGCAAACACGTCAGAGAGTTGACCATCTCATTAGGTTGTTTAATTGATAGTCAGTGTGTTTAAATTGTTAAGTCCTTGACAGACTTGTTCACCAGCTACCTGAAACCCCTCCTGACGCACAGTGGACCTCCTCTCACTGCTACGCTGCCGGCTTGTTGTGGCCCATTGGCACGATGCCTCACCAGCCCACAGGCCTATGAGGTTGGAACATAAAACATATTTTAATACAGTCTATAAATGTGCAATTTATGAGTTTATTTACTAATTATTTCCCCACATTTAAGATAAAACTTACATCATACTGGTGTTAAAGTTGACGCAGTGTTTCAGGTTTGGATTGTGATTTTATTCAAAGTTGAGTTGGCAGTTCTTCTTGCATCTTCATCTTTTCCTTCCCTCCCTCTTCTTTTCCCTTCTTCACGCACCAGAATGAAGGTCAACTCCATGACGATGACTCTGACTTCATCCTAAATGACGCCAGCGTGAGCTCCATGTACGCCGATGTTACCGTCAGCACCGACGCATCCGGATCCCGCACCATCAACCGCAAGCGCTCCTCCACCGCCAGCACCGGGTGCGGCCCGTTTGACGAAGGCCTGGATCATGAGCTCGCCCTGGCGGAACACGAAGTGGCGATCAGAGGCACCCGTCTGGTTCTGCCGATGGATGACCCAGTGGATCCCCCGACCACTGTCACGCTGCCCCCGCCACCCTCCCCACCACGCTCCGACCCTCGCAGGCACAGACTGTAAGACTTGCACTGTCAGGATGCGTAAAACCCCCAAAACATCTAAACTGTTTTCACAAGAAGAGAAAATCTGTTGTTTTATTTGGATTTTTAATTTAAACGTCAAACTGTTTTTGTTTCATGTTGATACAGGCCTCCTCCCTTGTCTCTTGCTTCGTGACAAACTTGAGGCGTGTTTTCCTTAACTCTTGAATGTGAATGCACTATACGTAAAGTAAGGTACTGTAAATTAAAAGCACCTCAAGTCTATTAGCTACCTTAAAACAACGCAAGATGCACATTTAGCTAATGTTTCAGGAGGCTAAAAAAAAGGGGGCGGTAATATTTGCTCCAGTGTGTACTACTGTGGCGTTGTGCTTTTACCTGTGCTCTCTCAAAGCTCTGATCAACCTCTGACTGTGTGCAGTGATCCCTCAAACAGTTTCATATGCAGTTTCCCCCTTTTCTCTGTGGTCATGTTGCTCCTGACAAAAGATCCTGTATCTGTTTTAGCTTCTGTCAGGTATTTGTATGATGATGCAATGTTCACAGATGCACTGAAATTTTGCTCCCGTGGCACTTACTAACATTCAGTGTTGTTATGGAGCATTTTACTCATCTCACATATGTATCTAAAGGCTAGTTGATGTGACCTGGAGCTCTCTTTCCCTGCGTCCTGTATGTTTGCCTCTCGTCATCTCTAAGAAGAGGCAAAGAGATGAAACTAGGTTTTGATTGGCCAAAGAGGGAACAACTAGAAAAGGACATTGGGATCTGTGATGGGAGGAGTGGTGTTTTTAAAAGATGATAAATATTTTCTTAAGATTGCAGGTTAACTAGATTTGCAGCGTTTAGCCAGTTAATCGATTGGCAAAACATTTAATGGAAACTATTTTGACATTACAGTTATTCGATCAGTTACCTTTTCTCTTCATCGTAATTCGTCAAACAAAAAAATACAATCATTGTCTGATTTCAGCTTCTCAAATATGAGGATTAGTTCTTTTCTTTATGACACTAAATTGAACAATTTTGAACTGTATCCCTGGGAGAAATAATAATTTTCAATTTTTTTACAGCATGACATTCACAGAATTAATATTATTCAAGAAAATAAAATAATTCAATGAAAATAATCTTAAATTGTGGCCCTAAGCCACCGTAGATTCCATAAAGCCAAAAAAGGTCACTGCTTCCATAACCGTGTGAGAAGCATCTCTCATCATCTTAAACTTCAGTATTGCCCGCCTCCTTTCTTCACTTTTTTACTTATTGATTTTATTTTTTCTGACATGATTTATTTATAAATGATGATTTAGATTATTTATTTATTTATTGTTTTGAAGTGTGACATTAACAGTTGCGTTGCCCTGAAAAGGCTTGGTGTTGTGTTTTTCTCTCTGACTGAAGGTACGTTGTAAAGCAGTGAAGTGATGAGGAAGGCAGACGTTCATTCCAGGAATTTGTCGTCCCGTTGTGTGCATGTTAAAAAAAAAAAAAAAAAGTCATACTGTAGCAAACGCTTCTACTTGATACTTGGAAACTAGAGCTTCCCTGTTTGTGTGTGTGGCAAATCTGGCCAAATCTACTGATGGGCTCTTTCAGGGCTAATTTCTGTTTCTTGTTTTTCTTTTGTCATCTGGTTTAATCGTAGAGAAAAAAAAAGCTAACTGCGGTGTCTTCGAGATGTTGTTGTATTATCAAAGATGACTCTTGAGGGCTGGCTAAACTGTTTTGAATTAAAGTGCCTATTCAGAAATTAAATTAACCTGATGTAGATTTGTATATATTTGATTTGCTAATGTGCAGTAATATGATCTTTTTGTTTTTTTGTTTTTATATGACTCTATAGTTCTTTTGTCAGACATTGTTTTCTCAGTATAATAAGGTAACTGACATTTTACTCTTTGTTCTTGAAGCCCTAAAGAGTGCCGACTAAAATACTGAATTTGCATTAATGGAAAATGACACTTCATATTTTGTCAGATATCATTTTGTGAACCGAACTTGTGTTGACTTGTGGAAACTGGATTCTCTGTCAAAAGTAAAAAATGAAACCTTTAAGAGCTGAATTTAAATTATGGGGTTAAGATGCTCATTCACAGAAGGATGACTGTTTGTCCGTTTTGGACTGTTTTTGGCAACTGAGCTTGTCCATTCTATTCTCACCTAAGTGAGAGATATTTCCTTGCTGAGCCGGCTGACTAACACAGCACGGCTGACTTTTAGGACTTGGGAAGAAGAAAAGAATGACATGTTTATTTTAATTGTGTAACACTGTTGGTTTTCTATGGCTGTTTCTTTATAATCATCATGAGATGTGGACATTTTTCTTTCAGTTTATTTACCTTTTGATTTTAATATCGTGCTTCTATTTGAACCATAAAAACAAACTTTGTTCATGTGGAAATGTTTAAGTAAAATCTTACAACAGCAGCCACAACTAAAACAACACAAATCTGAATGTTAGACTTTGTTTCTACTGTTTGCAAAACTGCTTGATGACAGTTGTATTTGTGAAAACTACACCTGCAATAGGTCTATATGTAAATGTTTTTTTTTTTTTTAATGTGAAGTTATGTTGAGGGAAAAAAAAGTTCATCTCAGATTGAATAGATCTTTCCCTGTGTTGTTCTGAAGTTATTAATGGTGTGTCCTCAGACATCTTGGGAGTGTACAGGAAGTAAATAAAAACTGTTCAACAAAAAAGGAACATGCCTTCTGTCTTTCTTAACGAAGGGAACAAATATCTATCATCGCCTGTGTATGAAGATGGACGACGTGTCTCCAGTTGTGCAAAGATTTAGCTAAACTAATGTGGATGTGGCTGCTGCCGCCTTTGACGTCATTTTACGCTGTGGTATCGACGTCCCAACTATAGACAGGTTCGACCATTCACGAGCCAGTCTCAGCTGTCAATCATTACTTTTCACCCTTACTTATACAGCATCAAATCGAACACTTGTCCCATCCACTAACATGGAGGTTATTATTTGGCTTCACTTCAGGAGAACTGTCATGTCTTCCTTATTTATAGAGTCAGTGCTCTGTATTGGTAAATCTAACATTATTACAAACATTATATTATTAGGACACTAGTGTTTTCATGTTCCTGGTGTGAGTGATCTACATAATAAAACCTGCTGCAACGTCAAGCTGACTTTTATTTTGAAGGCAGACTCACTCCACTTCATTCCAAGTTTTTGTTTTGAAAATGAACGACTCCTTCTTCCGGTCTGAGCCTGGCTGCTGCATTTATACGGCGTGAGGGTCCCGGTGCCGCGGAGTCCCGCTACCCGCAGAGAGACGCTCATCCTCGGCCGAACACATCACTCTGATCCCGGTAAGAAGGAGCAGGTGAGCCCCGCTGTTTATAACTCCGCAAACAACCAAACCTCATTCAACTAAACGCAGATTTGAAACAAATCAGACTTGTTGGTGTCGTTTCTCTCCTGCAGTTTGCAGTTTGAGCGTGAGGAGGTTGTCTCCAAGGTTTTTTTTTACAAACTTCGGCAATGTCAACTTATTATTGATCTTAATGAAAAGAAGTGATCGCCTATATAATATGACAAAATGATCAGAAGCACGTTACTCTGCTGCTCTCTCTCTCTCTCACACACACACACACACACACACACACACACACACACACACACACACACACCTTTAGATTTCATGCACACTATATTAGCAATGCAGCACTTTGACATCCGGAGAGGAAACAAATCTTTAAGTTGTCTGGGGCGTTGGCTGGCTGTGTGTGTGTGTGTGTGTGTGTGTGTGTGTGTGTGTGTGTGTGTGTGTGTGAGCTACAGTTACATGCTGACTTGTAGAGGTCTGGGCTGCTCCTGAAATCTGTTTCCAGTTAGGAAGTTTCCCTTTTTTCCACCAGATGATGGAACGGCTGAGGAAAAAGGGAAAAAAATGCATCACAGAGGTCAATTAAAATTCCTGTACTGTATTTTTCATTGTCCTGTGTGTGTGTGTGTGTGTGTGTGTGTGTGAGAGAGAGAGCGTGTTCACATCCATGCAAGTTATGCATATGGTGTCAATGTAATGTCCACCAGCCATGAAGTAACTTCACATCCATGTCTGCATGTCATCAGCCTCTTTCTTGTCTGGAGTTTGGATTCTTTACTGCAAACTTTGAGTCATGTAGTAATACAACTGTGATGATTAATAAATGTAATTTATCTGTCAAAGGAGTCGAGAGAATACAGAACGAAAAAGGAGAAGATATTTTCTGGTGAGATCACAAACGGAAACATGCAGGATGTTGTGAAACAATAACGTCACCAAAGTTGCAACATCCTCATATCACAAGTTCAGGTATAAAGGCTGGTGCAGATTTGAACCATCATTTGGAAGCACTTGTGGTATTACAGTCATTTCTTAAGAGGCACTAACCCACATGCAGACACACACACAGACAGAGAGTCAACCTAGAGCCATGTGTGCAATTGACCTTTCGCTGGTGGCTGCAGGGTGATTTTAAATTTGACTCAAATCCGGCGTCTGCATGTTTTTAAAATTACCATGAGCTCATCCCATAAAACACATCACAGCCTCATAACACTTTGTCTGCCTTCACATCACGGTAACTCCCTGTTGGGTTTTTGCCCGTCGCGATTTTAACGGGATGGGTTGTAAATGGGATGCTGGCACACAGTTGAGTTTTTTCTTCCCATTGATCCCCCATGGTAAACCCATAACTTTTTGTTGGAGTTTTTAAATGGAAAGTTTTAATGGACCTCTGCAAATTTAGGGCTCAGACAACGTGATTAAGGTGAAATAGGATTTCACTGAGGGACCTGGCAGGGTTTTATCTTTGACCTGCAGCCATTAAAACATGCTGCGATGTGTTTAGGTGTGTTGATGTTAATCAGTGTTTGTGAAATTACCAAAGACAAAGAGCTGCTTTGTTTTATGTGAACAGGAGGAGGTAAAGTATCAGGTCTATGGAGATTTAGTACCAAGACAGAAAGTTATAGTTTCATTAGATCAGATTTGTGCCTTTTCAGTCAT